TATTATAATGAATAAGCATAAAAAAATTGAAAATTGAAACCATACATACCCTCTGAAGTGCGGTTTATCAAAGGAGGAGACTGTATTGCACCTGATTCAAGATGAAAAGGATATAATTCAATCATAAGGAAACAACTGAACCTTAGAATTTTTGCTGGTAGATTAAAATAGCAGCATCTTTCATAATGTTTCATGGCGGCCTTCAAGCATTCATAACAGTCATTCCTTGACTGTAATAATCGCCGTAAACTTTTGCTTCTTCACCGCAAACATGCTATTAGAAGGATCAAATGCTGCCTGGAACGAAAGGCTACCCATGAAATCTTTCAGAAATGGAAGAAATCGATCTGGATCTGTTATGTTAGTGATAGTTTGAATGTGTACGGTTCCCATCTCTTCCGTTGAATTAAGCCTTGACAAGTTTATAAAAGACGTACCACATATATTCCCTAAATTTCCAAGCCTATTCAACAGATTGGCTTGACTAATTTTTAGATCAAGACCATTTCGGTCATCATCTTCTCTTGGTTTGAAGGAAAGTAATTAGGTTAAAACACGTGTACGAATTATATTCTTCCACTTTTCTGAGGGTTTCAGTTTTTACTCAAACTTTATAAAAAAGGCAGAGTGTCAATGTACATGGTCAAGGTCAAGGATATCTTGGAGGGCTTCATATAAAACTTACCAGGTTGCATTAAAGAAACAACAAAAAATGAACATTAGGACCACTAATAAGTAGCTCTTTGATAACCCATTAGGACTTAATTAGTGACTTGGGAGCATTTTGGTTGCTAGCTTATGAGATATGGTTTTCTAATATAAAGCAAGCTGAGGGTTTTGATTTTGGTTAATTACCTAAATATGCCGTCTGATTTTACTAATTAAACTATTTAGATATTCCCTCCTGCTTCTAAAACTAAATTTCCCTTGACATTTTATTAAATTTTCAAAATACGATCTTAAATTTCACTGGTAAAGCCTCTCCTGCATCTTCTCCTCACACAGGGCGTCGTCTCACACTGACTTCACACACATCCTATTATGCATTAGAATATCTCCCATATTTATAAATTATTATTCACCGTAGATGTTCCTAATGCACAGTCGATATGTCTGTGAGGCGCTTTACGGTCCTCCTTGTGGGTTCATCCATGAACCCCTCCCAACTCCCAAGGTTCAAGAAAAATAATTAAGGACCTCGTGATAATGCAATGCGAGTGTTTTAAGAAAAAATAAAACATCATATCAAACTGGACTGGTGTTTGATTAAAACACTAGTGTATTCAAATTTAATTGGGGAGTTTCTGGTTTGGAGATGTGATCTCATGATAATGCTCATCCAAATTAAGTTCACGTTAGCGAAACCTGAAGGTCCTTACTGTCTCCCTGCATATTTTCCTCGTTATTGCAATCTAAAGCCAATCCCTGCCTAAGCAAATTCATACACTGCCTGATACATCCTCAGTGTGATCGTAAATAGAAACCCCTCCTTAGTCAAATCAAACTAAGCGCAAACAGAACTACCCCCTAAACGATGAAGACACTAACTCCTCCCTCCCGGATGCTCCTATTGGCTATTGCCAAACCCAAAATCACTCAGAGGACATAAAATTTCTCTGGTAATCAGTATACTTTCATGGCCACCGCCACAACGTAAACACATCGCCGTCGCAACGTGCTCAGAAACTCTGGCAAGTTCCAGGCCAGGTTCGGGTTCAGAACGAAGAAATCTCCTCCATTGAAGAAAACTGTGTGTCATTGAAGCCGACTTCGGACTGCAGGCTGCTTTGGTTCCCCGGCGGAAAGCACCCGAGTGGCTTGATGGAAGCACGGTTGGTGACTACGGGTTCAACCCTTTCGGACTGGGGAAACCCGTTGAGTACTTGCAAGTTGCAAAACCTTAGGCTCGATTGGCGAAAGGAGTACATCCAAAATCCGAATTGGGAACATCTCTGTGACTCTGTGCTTTATATATATTTCATTTCATGGGAGATTTTTCCAATGCAAGGCTATAAAAGCTGTTCCAACAAAGCCTTGCACTGACTGAATCCGGTTTTCGATCCGTAAAATTTGAAAAAATAAAATAGGGGAAAAGTGGAATATTAGTGAAATATTGGCCTCCGTGCAAACAGCAAAACGTTTCACTAAAAGACATCCTATTTGTGTGAAATAGGGCCACACTGCATACGTAATTTTGAAAATCATATATGTAAGTGGTTTAGTGAAACTACATAATATATTTAAGTAATTAACATTTATTTTTTAGCGGACTTGAGTTCCTGAGGATGCAGAACCCATATATCGATCTACAAATCCCAAATCCCATTTTGGATTGGTAGAAACGTGTACTAATTTTGAAAACCTAGACTGCAGGCTGCAGCCCAGACTCCAGTGTTTTGCCTTCGATCAAGACGGTTTGTTGGTTAATTGGGTTTGTCCATTTTGATACACTACTAGAAATATTCTGGATCATAAAACAAAACATGGATCGGTCCAACCCAATACAAAATATTGGACCATCCAATCCGTCCAGTTTAGATTTGATTCAGAAATCCAGTCCATTGACACCCCTACTGGAGGAATGCATGTGATGATTGAAGAGCACCCGGCCGGTGGTCCACTACAATCACATCCGATTAGAGGGGAACTGGTCAGTTGACTGGCTTCTTGCTAGCCAGGGCGGAGCTGGGAATTTTTTATGAAGGGAATTAAAACTTATGGATGGGTCATAGGAGGGATCAATCATTGGGTGAGGATAAAGGTGTAAATCAAGTCGTGCCGCCCGTGGCCCTACATGAACTTCGACCGACCCGGCACAACAGTCTGTGGACCGTGCCAAGCTCAACACGACTATGCGGGCTGTGTTGGGATTGGGATTTTAGGTCCATAGGCCGATACGGCACGATACGACCGAACAGGTCGTGGCACGACTCGGCACGACCCATATATATATATATATATATATATATTATAATTATATAATAATATATAGTATATAATATATTAATAAAATAAATTTGTTTTTAATTCTATTATACTAATTTATTTAATTATTGCATATATAAGCAATTTTATACACAAAATTCATATAAAACTAAAATTTTAAATTTTTTTGTCAATTTTTTTAAATAAATAGATTTGGCCCGAAGCTCGGCCCACGGTCCACCCAGCCTGTGGCACAGCACGGGCCCACATGGGCCTGGGCCGACCCCCAAATTTTTTACTGAAAAAGGCGGCACGGCACGGTCCACGGGCTGCCCGCAGGCCATGCCATGCCAGCCCAGCACAGCCCACTTTATACCTCTAAGTGGAGTGAAGGGAAGAAAAAAATTTACATAGAAAAATGTATTCAGTGTGCGGATTTCTAGACCGTAGGAGGGCCATGGCTCCCTAGGTCGCAACAGCAACTTGGTTTTTTTTTTTTTTTTGTTTAGCACCGTGGGTTCTACGTTCTATACAACTTGCCTCTAATTTCTTTGTGCCGTCGGTTCAACGTCTACGTTGTATTGTAACGAGTAATCTCGACTGTGACGTTTGCGGGCGATTCAGTATCAAATAGGGATCCGAATGGGCTGGGCCAAGAATAGGGAGGGTTTAACTAGCACATCTCGGACTGGACCCTTGTTGTGACTTAAATTTTAGGCCTGCGCCTAGGCAGTCGATTAGGGCTGTTCATAAGAAGGCCCAACCCGATCAATCCGGATCGACCCAACCCTAATCGGCTGGGTTTTCATTAACACGGGTCGGTTTCGGGTTATACAAATTCCTAATCCGATTATTCGAGTCGGTTTCGGTTTAACCGATTTAGTTCCTAGTTGAAACATGAAGTTCCAAAGCCCATTAGACCACCTAGTTTTTGAATGGTTGCAAGAAACTTCAGATTAGTGAATAGTGATTAATGAACGAATAACTTTTGTGATTAACTTTTCATTTAAATTTTATCATAGGAGATGGCTGAAATGATGTTTAATTTATGATTGTTTTTAAAATTAACAAGATTTTATCACAGGGATGAACTTAAAACCGAAACCGACCCAACCCAACTCAAACCGACTAGGTCGATTTTGCTTCACACTGGATCGATTTCGGTTTCTATATCAGGTAACCCGACCAGGTCGGGTCGATTAGAAAAACTACAGTAAACCGACCCAACCCGACTTGTTAACAGCCCTACCGTCGATTCCATCAATCCACTGTGCTTTCTATATATTCGATCGCCAATATTCATTTTCAATACTACTAGAGTTAATGTTTGTTATGCATATGGCGCTGATCACCAAGACTATCCTTGCTCGTGCTTCGACGGACTGAGCCCAATAAAGGCCCATCCTTGATCCAGTCCAGTGCAGACCAGACAAGCTTGGTTGGCCCGCCTGCTCCTGGTTACCAGTTTGCCACGTATGCAGCTACCCATAATCATGTGTTTTTTAATTGTGAGCAGTAATATATACAAAACGAAACCCCTCACAGTAACCGTACGTCTGCCAAGCATTTTTCCAGTCAATAGTAATAGTACTATAGACTAGAGGATGGTGGTATGTATGGCTGTGTCTCTGTTGCATTACAATGTGAAGAAGCGGTGACGGTGAGTGCCCCAATCGAATGAAAAATAAAAAATATTAATATTGCAAGGAATGAAAGAATAGACGTTCCCCATCAGGCCATCAGCCATCAGCAAGCATGGTGAATTGGTGATTATGATAAACATGTGGCTCGTCCTTCCCTTGGAATCCAATACTGGAATTGAAGAGTCAAGGAAGCCCACGCGCTTCAACTTAATTTGCTTCAGCCTAGCTCCATGCATGTTTATGGAGTACTCCTCAAATCTTCACCCCATGTGATCGTTGCCTGTTTTTCAAAAATCCTAAATGTGCAATTCTATATTTTCCTCGTCCTTAGCTGATGACCTACCTACTTGTTATCCTAGATTCCTAGTATCAATATTTTAGATCTGGAACTAGAGTAAGAAAGAAGCCGGAGGCATTGCATTATTGGTTTTCCTATTCAAATTTCCAAGTGATTCACATTCTACAAGAAAAGCAGAATCAGCTCGATTTCTGTATATTATTCCCAAGCAAGCCCATTTGGGTCAACGGTCAAATGCATCATGATATTAGGAAATTGAGAAATTGGAGGAATTGCACTGGTTGATTTTCTCCTACATTCAGCCTGTTCAGATCTTACCTTTCCAACTTTTAGCTTCATCGATCTCGAGCGAACTTTCATTAATCGGACTCTGCTGCATGTATGCCCAGCTTCCACTATTAAGCATCCCAGCATCCGCTAATAATTTTTGACGAAATACTACTACACGTGCATGAAGATCATTTCTTCTTCTCTGCATTCTCTGATGCCAATCTCCAATACTTCACTGGCCGAAGAAGTTAATATGTCGCAACAATGCCGTCTTGGGGCCCGTAACTGAACAACCAGAAGGGACAAAGCAAGGGGTGGGTTTAGCTGCAAATTAACTTGAACAATCCAAATATCAGTAATAAAATAAATTCTACTATCTGAGTACGAATGGCAATCACCTGTCTGATGTCAAGATTTAGCTTTTTCGAGAACACTATGATCTGTTTCAATTTCTTTGATGTGTCCTTGCTTTCTAAGCATTTTTCGGAAATAGTACTCCTGTAAGTGCTCTTTATCCTTTCTCTATGATCAGAAGACACGCTTTCTAGAAAGAAGATGATAGGCCTTCTACAGGGGTCTTCGGGAAGCTCCCTCGTGTCAAACATATGCAGAGGCGGCAGAGAAGTGTCTCGCTTATTCCATGGCTCAAATGTACGTTGCACAGGGAGTACGTCTGGAAGAAGTATATGGGCCTCAAATACCTGAACAGCATAGCCCCACGAGACTGAAACTGTCCATTGAAACCAACGGTCGTAGCAAATAGTTTGTTGCAGAATCCTCCCCGGGTCGAGCTTCACGGCTTCAAGCAAGTGTTCTAAAGCTTGCTTTCTTGCCATTTTAGGGAAGACCGGTTCTATATCTTCCAATCGATGAAGTGATACCAATGGTTTCAGTGGGTGTGCGGCCAGCAACCCGAATGCATCTCCCTTAAGATCCACCTGCCAGATGAGAAGAGGCACAGATATATACAGAAAAAACAAGAGTCAGCCTCTGATCCCATATATCTAATCTGCTGAATTCCCACCAATTCGTTATTCATGTAACTGGCCTTTGATTCCCTCAAGAAGAAAAGGAAATTAAGCTACCTGATGAAACCCTGGCTCATATGTCAAACCGACTCCCAGCTCTGTCAAGCAAGAGAAAATCCTAGCATCATCTCCATAAAGATGTGGATACCGCTCCAGACAGGAATCCAAAACCTTTGCTAGTACTTTGGCAAGAGGATAGCTCAAAGCAAAGCCCCCTCCCCAGTATGCCATCTGGAAGGAAAATACCGAATTCTGCTTAGCGCTCTCGGAGTAGGTCCCGATGTAGTACCACAGATTGTGATCGTACTTGGAAAGTGTCTGCACCAAATTCTCCGGGAAGAACAAGGTATCATCATCCCCGAAAACGAACCACCGGACTCCAGTTTGATTGAGAGCAACTGTCTCGGACACAGACCGCGCAACACGGATGGCTGATTTGAGACCACTGCCGTGAGTGTAACGAAATCGAGATGTGTCCTGGGAGATGCATATTGGAGGAAGAGTAGTATGATCTGTACGGTTATACTTGTCCGCACCGGTGGGCATCCTTTCAACAAATACACAACCTCTCATGCGTTCTGGCTTCCACCAGAGCCTCACGTACTCCTTCCGCATGGGCCAAGATTGAGCAGACGAAGAGATGCCGAACACTACATGGTCCAGAGTGGTCGGCGGCGAGAGGTCGAACAACGGGGCGCGTTCGACGGAAGATGGACGGACGATGGATATGGATACAAAGAGGTAGATTATAGAAAAGCAGGAGGAGATGAGGAGGAGGTTTATGAGGCGATAGGAAGTTGGGTGTCTGGAGGGTAACTGAAAAAACGACATTTCAGAAGGGAACAAGAAGCTGAGGTTGCTGAGTTGATATCCGCCAGAGGCGAGACCCTTTTATTGAGTGCTGTACCATCGATATATATCACCATGGATGCCGCAATCAACGGTGCCCAACGTTTTCTGAATTCTGTTGTTAAAAAAGAGCTGAAACTATTGCGTTGACTTCAGGGCTGGTCTTATTATAAACCCGTTTCTGCCGTTCAGTTCTAACTTTCGTCCACTGAATTAATGTTGTTTTGGCAAAGAAGGTCGGTTAAAGCATTTAAATCATCTTTTAAGGGTCTTTATGCACACGCTTAAGAAAGTCCGGATCTGGTTCCAACTTACTACTTTTTTTTTTGCGAAAATTCCTGAACAGTATTTGAACTTAGGGGTTGTGTTTTAGTTAGGAATGGCAATGGGGCGGATTCGGGGCGGGATCATATTCCCCGTCCCCGACCCCGATTATAAAAGTAACCCCGTTCTCGTTTTCGATTTCTGTTGGAATAAAATTTGTCCTTCGTCCTCGATCCCTAACGGGGATGGGTTCCCCACGGGGATCCGAATCCCAAAAGTTTTTTTAGATAACAATATTTTTTAAAAAAATAAATTTACTTAAAATAAATAAAAATTTTAAATTATAAATATTTTTTTATTTATATAATATATATAATATAAATAATATATATATATATATATACATAATCGGGGTCAAGACGGGGTGGGGACCTCAATCCCCATCCTCAACCCCAACTCCGATCGAGGATTCTTACTAATCTTCGTCCCCATCCCCACCCCCATCGGGTTAGAGAAATTGGGTCCCCGCCGGGGATGGGGAAAATTGCCATCCCTAGTCTTAGTCAGTCCCCCAACTTTCAAACATGTGTTTGCACTATTCTTTAACTTTCAATTTGTATCTTAGTTGGCCGTAAACGATCAAGTAGAATCACCGAATTGACCTTCATATTCTGAGTAAGAGAGAGAAAAATTTTGATATTATAGCATATAAGAGCAACTTTTGGGCCCTAATATCAATAAAAGTAATATTTTTAATAAAATTTCAAAAATAGGTTAACTTTTTAAAAATAATATCAAATAAGGATAAAAATATTGTTCATCTTCTTCCTCTTGCGGATCATTCATCGGCGCCACCGCCCGTTGCCACCTTCGGCAACCTCCGATAACGCCTCCGCCTCTACCCAACACTGCCACCACCGCCCACCTCCACCTCTGGTCTACCATCCACCAACGCCACTACCTCTGCCCACCTCCACCTCCGGTGTTGGGTAGAGGTGGAGGCGAAGGTTGCCGGAGGCAGTGACGGGCAACAACGCTAATAAATGATCTGCAAGAGGAAGAAGGCAAACAGTGTTTTTGCCCTAATTTGTTATTATTTTTAAAAAATTAACCTTAAGGCCCAAAAATTTTCCTTATCTATCTGTTACAATCCCAAAAATTTTTAGAAAAAGGCAACATTGCCCTCATCTAAAATAGGATTTATGCATCAGAGAGATGCACTGTTCACTCTAATACATTAACTTTGGTCAAAAAATTAATTATCAAATACAAAATTATATCCAAAAAATAGGTACAGTACTGAGCATTATACAAAAATGAATGATCGCAAACAAACGGAGCCGGAGTTGCAGTGGTCGTTGCCGGTATGATTGTTCCAGTAAACGCTTCCAAAGACCACTTTCCGATAGTTTGAAATCATCACCGACGATTAACTGAGCATTATCTCCGGTGAGTGGTTACAAGGTATTCTCTAATACGGTTGCTTGATGGGAAGAATGTAATATCAGTACCGTCGTCGGAGAAGATACTAAACATTTGTCATCGCCGAAGAAGACAATAAGCCTTTGCCGTCATCAGAGAAAGAATGTAAAAAACTCGCTTTTTTAAATTTTTGCCCAATTGACTTGTTATATGATCATGAATTTATGATTTCTTTGTTGGGTTAATGGGTTTTTTGTTCATCCGATGGACAAGATCGGGATGATTTCTTTGTCGGTCATCGGATTCTTACGATTCCTACACCTTTGTTTGAACCCACTAAAACCCAAGATCGAGAGGATTGAAATAAACTTATGCACCTTTCACTATTTGGTTTTCCAGTTTAATTAATTTTCATTAATGGAGGAAAAATATCTTCAAATCTTCATCAAGATGGTGGAGTTCGAAGAGAGGGAAAAAGAAAGGACAGAAAACCAGAAACCAGATAACCAAAAGCAAAAGAGAACTTGTATACAATAAAATACATGAATTTAAAATTCAAGAAACATTAGGGGAAAAAGAGCCAATTCAGTTCGGCGGGGCCCGATTCGAGCTAGTCACGGCATCATTGCCAACGACAGAGAGAAGCTGGGTGAACCTGCATTTCCAACGTAGCAATATAATCCATTGCTACTTCTAGAAGTTCTGGAAACGAGAGATTTCGGCAACTGGGAACTGATCGTTCGAGGACGCGCACTCTTCGCCACAACGCCGATAAATTCAGTCAGCCGGTGAGAATGGCCTTGCTCCATCGAGTTCGCCCTTTGGCCGCGACAGCCAGGACTTGATCCGTGGCTTCGCGTACAGTTCGACCACGAGGCGGAGCTTTCGGGGATGCAGGGGATTGGTTCAGGCGAACTTGTCGCAAAGCTTCGGTGCGGCATCTACCTTTTAGAGACCCTGAGCGAAGAGAGAGACGGTGCATCGATTTACCTGAGAGTTCCGCTCCCAGACCGACGCGCACAGCAACCACTGGCGACGCCTGCTCCACCTCATGATTCAGCGTCCGTGGCAGCGGCGTCAGGGTCACTGCTCTCTCTCTCTCCCTTCTTTCCCTTCTTTAGACCTACATGGGCCAGTCGATTCACTTCTCGACCTCAAATCCGTAGGAACAGTGTCAACGGTAGCATTCTCAACCAATTGCACCAATTATATACTTGTATATATATATACACATATATAAATATTTACATACATAAATAAGTGTATATATATTTGCATAAATAAATTTATATATCTATAATTTTAAGGTGAATTCATTGACCAACACAACTGCATCAAATTATAGAACGGATTAAGTTTGAGTAGGGAAAACCGAGATTGACATCAGGCTTAAGCCTTAAACTCAAATTTTAGTACCAGGCCCAGGTTGACCATAAACCTGGCCCAACCCACTCGACTTGCACCCCTAAGGAGGAATTCACATCAGCGTCCCATAAGGGGGCGCCCCACAATGATCCACAGCACAAGAGATTATAAGATTTCATTGGGAGATGTTCCCAATACAAAGTCAGAATGTGCTGTGGAGCATTGTGGGGTGCTGGTGTGAATTCTTATAGGAGATCCTATCAAGTTCGGCCTGTTATACTATGTACACTCAAATATGTTGATTGTCCTACTCATCAGGTGGAACCCACAAAACAGAGACCGGATCTGCTCCTCACACCTGGCGCCTCACAGGCGCTTTACACGCACATCCTATCATGCATTAAGAACATCTTCCATACTTATTAGTTATTATTCACGGGAGATATTCCCAATGCACGGTGGATGTGAGACACCCATATGTGAGGAGCAGATCCCGTCTCCACAAAACAATAAAGACAGTAAGAAGAAAAAGTGTTACAAGACAGTAAAGGAAAATCAAAAAGCCTTCTGTATTTTTGGCTTGTCTGATTTTTGGAAGAAGAACAAGGTATGGTGAAGGGTTTTTGAGAAAGGGACAGGAAGAAAATACAAGGGTTGTAGAAGGAAGAAAATATCCTACAACATTTTTTGACGCGCGATCTCTCTCTCTCTTGCTTTCTTATTGGTGAGATCTTTCTCATTTGATTATTCCATCCATTTAGATGATGCTTGTTGTTATTGGTAACTAAGAGTTCCTCTCTTGATGTATTCAGCTAGTTTGTAACTGATTGAACTTGTACCCTACTATTTGATTGATAGTGGAAGTTTGTGGATTTCGGTCCCATTATTTTTACCCTCACATTTTACACATAAATCTTGGTCTCTGTTATTTGCTCACATTGTGTTTCTTAAATTGATTATATATATATATATTACAACTTGCTATTTGCTTGTTAATATCTTTGATTTGCACAATAAAGTACAAAGGGGTTTGTTTCCCCAACAAAATTTCCTTCTAATTTTCTCCTTAGATCCCTTAATTGTTGATCCTATCTACTTGGTGTCAGTATAGAATAGACCTCTGCAAAGAACCAAAACAATGACTGTTAAACATCTTTTAAATTCCAAATTTTCTAGTGAAATTTACAAGCAAGCATCAAAATTAACTAATACAAAGTTACAAACAAGAACCCAAAGCACCTTTTCTCTTTCTAGCAGCCTTTGTTGTGCTAGCCTTCTGAAAAAATAAGATAAAATCAGAACTTGATTGTAATTAACCAAGATGAGGCTCTACATCAATGGAAATGGCTTAAATCTTTGATTCCCAAGCACCTTGGAAAACCATGGCTTCTAATATGCCCAATTAACTGCAACCAAACTCTTGTGAATCTGTTTAGTTTGGATGAGATTGATGTAGGTGAACCTGAAAGTACTGAACATTAGATAGAATTAAAGCTTTGGAGGATTTCAAAGAATGTGCACCCTCGTCATTCATTTGAGACACCTAGGATATAAATAAAAATAGCAAGCATTGCTTGGGGAGAAGAAAAAGAAAAAGAAAAAAAAAACAGAATTAATACAAGCATTCAGTTCATTATTGATCTTGTCTTAACTGTTTTAAGGTCACATAAAAGATCAATTCATTAGAACTAAAGCAATGCTAACTGATGCGGCACGATCCGAGCACTCCTAGCTGGCTGCCGACAGACTCCTTGTTGGCAATGGGCGGCACCTGAGAAGATGGAAGAGAAAGATTCCCGGGGATTTACCCAGTGGGAATACTCCGATGCTTAAGTCAGAACGCAGGGAAAGAGAAAAAAAGAGTGCGAAAGCTAAGAGTGTAGGTCGCGCTTTATCACTGTGCTCGAGAGGTTAGCTCGCGAGCAAAGATGTATTCAGTTCCAAAGTATGAGAGTGTGGAAATATTCAAAAGTCTGAAGATCCTTTTCTCCCCTGCCTCAAGGGTTTTTATAGGGGCGTTCTTGTCAAATCGGGCATAACCGCCACTGGGCCCCTGCCGCAGTCGTTACCTTCCAGGCCTGCGCAGGTGGCCGTTGCAACGTACTCCTTGCTTGGATAAGTGACACGTCCTCAAAGGACAAGCACTCCTTCACCTGCTGAGAGACGTGGGTTCAGTCTGTCGAAAGGACAGGGACTGCGTCGTCAGTCAAGGGACATGGTGCAGTTTGATTGGTACGGTCTATCAGATGGAAGCTTACTGAGAAATGTTCGCGCTGCTCACTTGCGAGCTACTTTGTAGCGAGATTAGGAATAATTTTGGGTTACCCTTATTAGAATTGACTCCTGGGATGACTTATCTGCTTGGGGGCTTGAGCGAGCTGATTTCCCTAGCTCGCGAGCTAAAGTTGCCTCGGAATATCCCCTTAGGGGTAGCTCGGGGAACTCAGAGCTCACGTTGTAGCGAGCTCTTCCTTCAGCGAGCTATGATAATAGCGGGCCACCTTATAGGCTTGTTACTTAGCCATTGCCAGGCTATGGTGCTGAGTTGTCGCCCATGCTAAGTCAGGTCCATGTGTCATCGTTTTATAGGTCGAGCCAAATCATCCTCCATCAATTGCCCCCCACTCCTTGGGCTGAGAGCGTTGCCTTAGCACAGGGAGTTCATGAAGTATGATAGACTGATTTGACCAAAATTCAAACTTGATCGACGGCTCACATTAAATGCGTTCGCGGGAATCAGGAGATTTTTTGACCTTTCGAATTCCAAAAACGTGTTGAAGTGGCTCTTAACTCTAGATATCGTGCAGTCGTCATTACCTCAATCATGGGAGACGTGCAACCAATTGCTTTTCGATTTTCAGAAAGCGTAAGGTCAATACTCCCGCGAACCGTCGGATCTACCTTAACCTAGTCCGTTGATTCAGAAGCGTGGAGGTTATAAATAGAAGGGCCCTCTGGGTTTCATTTTCCCCCACGCCATCTTGTTGTCTTCGGATTTTGAGGTCACGTATCTATCAAGTCTACTCGAGTTCCTCAGTTCACTTCGTCCCGTCCCTTTTAGTGAGTCTCGATTACTATCAGTCATGTCTGGGTACCCGTACCATACTCGTCATCGGGGCGGTGACTAGGATGATGATGCTCCCTCAAGCTCGGGGGGAGCTTGGGAACAGGCCCCAGGGGCCCGGGAGACCTCCGGTGACGGAGCCTCCACTTCCCGGGGAAGGGAGCCCGATACTTTTGGCCCTTCCTCCATGACAGAGGGGAGACTTGGGTCTCTAATTAGCTATTTCCACCTTCCCAGGGACCTCGTCTATTGCCTTCCCACCGGTAACTTTCCGTGGGAGCATGGTCCCAATGAGATAGTCATCTACCAGGAATAGCTCGAGGCTGGCCTGCGTCTCCCCCTGCACCCCTTGATAGTGGAGGTGCTAAACCACTTTAACGTCACTATCAATCAGCTTCATCCCAACACCATTTGGAACATGGTTGGGACTATATCCTTATGCTATGAATATTGTCTTCCTTTGAATCTTGACATTTTTTCTGCTATCCTTTGTATAAAGAATGCCACTCCTGGGGCTCCACGTCGTGGCTACAAGCTCTTATACGAGTTTCCGAATAAAATTCCTGCCTGGAAGCGGGATTATTTTTTGGTCCGCAACCCTGAAGGTTGGCCCTTCCCTACTTCTTGGAGGGGCGCCATCCAGGACTCTGGGGTCGAGCTGGACCATGATACTCAAAAAACGATGTTGTCCTGGGCATCAATAGGCTTCCTCTGTTCGGACTACTTGACCGAGAAAAAGCTCGTGTAGGCCGGCCTGAGCCCGGGTAGGTTGCCTTTTTAGGTCGTGTAGTACCTTGGCATAACATTGTGTAGACAAATATACTTTGTTCTTACCGAACTAACACTTTGTGGTTTCTTCTTGGCAGCCATCATGTTTGGTATCGACTTGCGCCGCCTCCTTTCAAGCAACCAAAGGCGTAGAGTGAAGAGGTCGCGCCCCGACCGGACCCCCACCTCGGGGGGCACCGAGTTTGGGTCTGCCGAGCCGGTCTTATCCTCTCCGCCGCCCGACATCCAACCGCCTGAAATTCCGCCGCCTCCGTCCGAAGAGGGAGCTAGCGGAGCTGGCCCCGAAGAGGGCAAGCTCCCACAGCAAGGGGTGACTCCCCCTAGTCCTTTCCAACCATTCCCTTATCCACGGTTCCCAGTGGGGAACAGGGAGGGGGTGAACAATTACCTTGTGGCTCGACGGAAGAGCCGGCGAGCGATCTGTAATGAGGAGGTCGCTAAGTGGGGGGAGATGGAGCTTGGGGATCTCGCCGCGCTCGCCTCCTCTCATTGTATGGTGGTAAGTGGCTATTCCCCTCTTCTCACTTTTTGCTTCCTTTTGTTGTCTTTTGATCATAGTTTTTTGTCGGCAGGTGAACACCGCCATCCACGCCATGGCCCTCCAGACGCACATCCACTCCTGCGACGCTCGCAACTAGAGGGTCATTGCTCAGAAGCTCCAGGGTGAGCTCGACCGAACTCGGGGCGAACTCCTTCACACTCGCAAGGGGAGCGAGTCCCAGGAGCTGCTCGTCCGAGACCAGGAGGCGCAGATTGCCAGGCTTTCTGAGGAGAGTGCGCGCTATAGGGAGGAGGAGTCGAGGGTGGTAGTGGAGAGAGAGCTCCTTCGCCAACAGGTTCGGGACTTGGAGTCTACTCTTCTGGACCGAACTCGGAACTTCGACAACCTGGTGGAGGCCGAGCGAGAAAAGGCGGTCTGGGACTTCAAGGACTCCTAGGAGTATCACGACCTCCAAGTGGAGTATGGCTCGAACTCGTACCGCTCCAGATTCAAGCTCTGCCGATGGTTGGTCCAAAAGAAATTTTCTGGGCTCAACCTCGACAGCATCACCATGAAGGGCCCGTCTCCCGAGACGGCAGACCAGGCAAAGGAGGAAGAGCCTGACTCCCCGGAGGACGAGGAGGAGGTGGACCCCTGAGGCTGGCGGCGATGGTTCTGTTATGATTTCTGGTGGCTCCCAGGTGCCATAACCCGGTCTTGAAAAGATCTTGTTGGGCGGTTGTTCCCTTTTTACCTCTTAAAACTTTCTCGAGCTGTTTAGCTCGATTTTTTTTTTTAAATGGTAATGAAATTTCTTCTTTTTTCTTCTAAGTATGGGGTGCTCTCTTTATTTTTGCTAAGGCGATCTCAACACTCGAGCTATTAGGGCTACATACCCGAAGTAGGACTTTTTGATAGTCGTTATCGCGAACTGTCCCTTAATCATTTAAGGCATCCCTATGGTGCACAGCGAAGTGATTACCATGTGTGCCCGAACCATACACTTGTCGGTTATTCCTTAGTTCAACCAACGTGCTGAGACGAACTATGCTTCATGGGGTTTAAACCCGAGCTGCTTACGCCTCTGATATTTCATACTTTGCCTTCGTTACTGAAGTGGCCAAGTCTTTCTTGATGTCGAGGTCTCAGTTAGCTCGGTGTTTTAGCCCGTAGGCTGGGGGTGACATAGTCTGCCCTTGAAGTTTGCCCATGCCATGGAGACGACTGGGTCTTACTGCGCCAAGGTCATGTTAGCTCGGAATTTTGGCCCTTAGGCTCTGGGAGTGACTCGTGGTCTACTCAGTTGTTACAGGTAATATTGTCTTAAGTTGACAATATTCCATGCCCAAGGTACTTGTTTCCCTTTGAGGGTCTCGAGCTCGTATGTTCCCTCCCCGAGCACTCGTTTCACTCGGTAAGGTCCTTCCCAATTAGACCCGAGCTTACCAACGCCGGGCTCAGGTACCATAACTTTACAAAGGACCAGGTCACCGATGCGGAGGTTCCGCTTCTTGACCCTGGCGTTATAGTACCGAGCTACTCTTTGCTGGTAAGCAGCGGTCCTGATGTACGCGAGGTCCCTTACTTCGTCGAGTAGATCGAGGTTGGTACATAGCTCATCTTCATTTGTCTTGTCATTGTATGCTTCTAGCGCAGCTTAGGTACTTCGATCTCTGTCGGGATAACTGCTTCGGTGTCGTAGGTGAGGTTGAAGGGAGTCTCTCTTGTGGCAATTTTCTCTGTGGTTCGGTAAGCCCATAGAACACTGGGTAGCTCGTCTGCCCATAATCCTTTAGCTCGGTCCAAACGTGCCTTCAGTCCACAGAAGATGGCTCTGTTCGTGACCTCTGCTTGACCGTTTGCTTGAGGGTGTGCAAACGAAGTGAAATTCTGTCGTATCCCCATATCTTGACACCAGTTCTGGAATTTGATGTCCTCGAACTGCTTGCCATTGTCAGAAATTAGTACCCGAGGTAACCCGAAGCGGCATACAATGTTCTTCCAAAAGAAGTTTTGGATGTTCCAAGCTGTGATTGTTACGAGAGGTTCAGCTTCTACCCACTTGGTGAAATAATCCACTGCTACTACTAAGAACTTCCTCTGACCTATCACTGGCGGGAACGGTCCAAGTATGTCGATGCTCCATTGTGCGAAAGGCCACGGGCTAGTGAGATACTTGAGGTCGGCAGCGGGCGAATGGTAGATATTGGCATGCTTCTAGTATTTGTCATATTTTCTGACGAGCTCGATGGCGTCTGCTTTCATTATTGGCCAATAGTACCCCTGTCGTAGTGCTTTTTGGGCGAGGGCCCTGCCCCCCAAGTGTCCGTCGCACAGACCCTCATGAGTGTCGCGGAGTACGAGCTCGGCTTCGATAAGTCGCAAGCAGCGCAAGTAGGGGAGCGTGTAGGATCTTCGGTATAGTCGTTCATCTATTATGACGTATTTGGCCGCCTGGCACTCTACCATTCTGACCGTATTGCGATCTACAGGAAGGGTCCCGTGCAGCAAGAACCTCGCAAGCGGGTCAATCCAGCTCGGCTCTACTTGAACGACGGGAGCGACCTCCTTTGCCCCCCGAGAATGCTGGGCCGAGGCAAGTCCTCTATGTACACGGTTCTCATGGTGATATTGCTGGTACTAGCTAACCGGGACAAAGTGTCGGCCTCAGCATTCTCCGACCTCGGGATTTGCCTGATGAAGTGTGACTGGAAGTTGAGCAGAACCTCTCTTACTTTGGCTAAGTAGGCAACAATGGTTGGTTCACGAGCTTCGTAATCTCCTATGACTTGGTTGACTACGAGCTGGGAATCGCTGCAGATGACGATATGCTTGGCTTTTACTTCTCTGGCTAAAGCTAGCCCGGCTATCAACGCTTCGTACTCCGCTTCATTGTTAGATGTTGCGAACTCGAAGCGTAGTGCATACTCCAGTTTTGTGCCACTTAGGCCATGCAGAACTATTCCGGCTCCGCTACCCTGTTGGTTCGAGGAGCCATCTACGTGAAGCATCTAGGGCTCCTCATCCCAGTTCGCGCTTGGCCTAACTGGGAGAGATGTCGCACTGGATACTACCTCACAGGGCTCGAACTCGGCTGGCCTGGGAGCTCCGGGCTTGCCCGGACTGGGGGCCTCGAGCTCAACCGGCCTGGGGACTTCAAAGCTGAAAGTGCACTCCGCAATGAAATCTGCCAAGGCTTGGGCCTTAATAGCAGTTCGCGGCTTGTACTGGAGGTCATACTCGCTAAGCTCAACGGCCCACTTCGTCAATCAACCAGAGACCTCGGGCTTAAGTAAGACTTGCCTCAGAGGTTTGTTGGTGAGGACGATAACAGTATGAGCTTGGAAGTACGGGCGGAGCTTTCGAGTTGCGATGACCAGTGCATAGGCTAGCTTCTCTAACTCTGGATACCTTGTCTCTGCTCCCTACAATACTTTACTAACATAGTAGATGGGTCGTTGGACCCGATCTACTTCCTTTATCAATACCGAGCTGACCACTTCGTCACTTGCCAAGAGGTACAGCTCTAAAACATCGCCCTCTTCGGGTCGGGTTAAGATTGGTACACTAGCAAGATATTTCTTGAGCTCATCAAATGTGAGCTGGCAGTCTTGGGTTCACTCAAAACCTTTGCTTTTAATTGCCTTAAAGAAAGGCAGGCAGCAATCCACCGACTTGGACATAAAGCGGCTCAGGGCGGCTATGCGGCCATTCAACCTCTGAACCTCCTTCAACTTCTGAGGTGGTCCCATATCTAGGATGGCCTTAATCTTATCTGGGTTGGCCTCAATGCCGCGCCGGTTGACGATATATCCTAGGAATTTAACCGAGGTGACACCGAAGACACACTTGTTTGGATTCAACTTCATGATAAATTGTCGTAGAATTTGAAAGACATAATGCAAATCTTGCATTAATTCATGTGAGAATTGGGTTTTGACGACCATGTCGTCTACATAACACTCTATTTTTCTGCCAATTAATGGCTTAAATAGTTTATTTACAAGCCTTTGAAATGTTGCCCCAACATTTTTCAATCCAAAGGGCATAACCTTGTAACAATATAGACCAAACTCTATTATGAAGACAGTCTTTTCTTCGTCCGTCGGGTCCATCATGATCTGGTTGTAGCCCGAATAGGCGTCTAAGAAACTCAGCAACTCGTGCCCCGAGGTCGCGTCCACTAGGTTGTCGATTCTGGGGAGGGGGAAGCAGTCTTTTGGGCAAACTCGGTTCAGGTCTGTGTAGTCGACGCACATGCGCCACTTGCCGTTAGCCTTCCTTACCAGAACGGGGTTGGCTACCCAACTCGGGTAATGGACTTCTCTTATGAAGTCAACTGCGAGGAGCTTCCCGACCTCCTCGTCGACTGCTTTCCATCGCTCTGGGCTAGGTTGCGTTTCTTCTATCTAATGGGCCTAACTACATGATCAGTATTGAACTTGTGAGTTATGAGATTAGGGTCTATGCCAGGCATCTCTACCGCGGACCATGCAAAAACATCTAAGTTTTGAAGTAGAAAACTTACTAGTTCGGATCGCAGGGATTCCTGGACTGAAGCACCGATTTGGAGTGTCCGAGCTAGGTCTTCTGCTGAAGTCGGAATAACAACTATTTCTTCCATGGGTGCAGCTCGTTCCTCGCCTTGCTCCGTAGGTCGCTCCAGTTCGAGATTGTCGGCCACCTTGGTCTTTCCCTTGAGGGTGGTGACGTAGCACTTGCGAGACTCAAGTTGGTTGCCCCGCACTACCCCCACTCCGAAGTCTATAAGGAACTTCATCGCCAAATAATAAGTGGAGACCACCGCCCGTAGGGCATGGGTGATCGGTCAGCCTATTATGGCATTGTACAGGGAGGGGATCGCGACCACTAAGAAATCATGGTTGAGCCTTACTACGCTGGGCCATGTGCCGACTTCCACAGGTACTGTTATTTTCCCCAGGGGCTTGACTTCTTCTCCGCTGAAGCCTACTTAGGGAGTATTCACGAGTCTCAAGTCACTTCCCTACATTGATCCTTACTTTTATGACGAGCGCGTCGTCGTGGGGGTAGTGAACCCCGCACGCATCGTCCTCCGAGAAGATCGGTTCTTTTGTCTTCGACCGCTTTGGAGGATTTTGCTCTTCCCTGGCAGCTTCGTGAACTGATGTCTGAGCTGCTGCCGAGGTACAGCCTGCAATGATTGAACCTCCAACTATCATGTGGACGGTGCCCCGAACTAGCCTCTCTTTCGGGGGCTGCCTCTGTGACTGCTTTGCCGGCCTGCTTTTCCTTGGATATCCACGACGAATGAGTTCCTCTATCTCGTCGCGGAGATTCTTACAGTTTTCGGTACTATGACCGTGGTCTCTATGAAAGCTACAATATAATTTTTTATTCCTTTCATTAGGATTCCCCCTCAGGCGGGGTGGCCACTTCACGTACGGGGCATCCTTGATTGCCATCAAGATTTCGGCCCGCTTAGCATTCAGTGGGGTGTAGTCAGTTCGGTCCGCTACAGGGGCTCAGAACAGCTGACCTGGCTTTGCCCCCCGAGCTAAGTCCTTCTTTTGGTTGTCTCCTTGGCTTGGAAGTTCCCCTTCTCTCTTTCTCTTTTCAAGCGCGCTCTCGCCCTTCTGCTTGATCTCCTCTTTCGTGGCTATGAACCTGTCTGCGAGCTTGAGGAATTCAATTATGGTCGTCGGCTGGTTGACAACCATGTGCCACTTGAATTCCTTGTGCGTCATGCCCTTCTTGGTTGCCGCAAGGCGCACTGCGGGGTCTAGGCGTGGTATCTGCATGCATGCATCGTTGAACCGCTTGATATAGCCCCGGAAGGACTCTCCCTCTCTCTGAACTATACTGAGAAGGCTTTCCTCAGTTCGCGGGCACCGCTTGCTGGTGACGAAGTGGGACGTGAAGGCTTGCGCGAACTGTGCCCAACTTCTTATCGATCCTGGGTGCAAGGTTTCGATACCACATGCGAGCCACTCCTTTGAAAGTGGTGGAGAAGGCCACACACATGCAAGACTCACTGGCTCTTGCCAGGTGCATCTGTGACTGGAAAGCGTTTACATGATCATTCGGGTCGAACGACCCGTCATACTTGTCGAGAGGGGGAGCTTGAAGTCCTTGGGCATTGAAACAGTCAGGAACTCAAGAGACAGGGGGGATGGAACAAAAAGGAGGGGAGCTTTAATTTCACCTGAGCTTACCTCTTCCCTACCTCTGAGCTCGGGCAGGTTGTGGGTGGTGGTTCGGCGAGCTCAGCGGCGGCATCTTTGCTTTTTGGCAGGCTCTGCATTGGTGTTGCTCGCCTCCATACTGTTAGGGATAGTTTGCGTAGGAAGCAACTCGGGCTGCTAGTGATGGCCGCGGACAGAGGGGTTTCGCTTAGAGTATGCAACCAAGATCTCGAACTGGTTTTCTAGAAATGGGGCTTCGAACTTCGATTGCTGGGGTGACGTAGATCTGGCAAGTTGGGATCCTCCCGACCTGACTGCCCGCGGCGAGACCGGGTGGTTGGTCTTTCCTTCCTGCAGCGGGAGGAGGCTTGGCTCTTAGGGGGGTTCTGGAATGCCTCTTCTTGGTGAGAAGGGTGTTCATTTTGGCAGCGAGACCTAGCTTGCCACGAGGCCGGGTGTCGGGGAGGGAGCTAAGGCCGAGGCTAAGGCAACTGAGGGAACTGCTACTGATAGTGATATTGAGAGACTTGGTGCAGCACCTGCTGCTGGTAGAGCTTAAATTGCTGAAACTGGTGCATTTGGGCTTTCATGGCCCTCATGGACTGCACCAGGTTGTCGAACTGGCTCTGGCCTGTCGTCGAGGGGACGATAGAAGGCTCAGTGAAGGTTGTCCCGACCGAGAAAGGTAGGGGGACGCTCAAGGGTGCCATTATTTGTGGCACGTTCAGGCTGGGAACCCCATCCGCGGAAAGGGGAATAGTGAAATGCCCAATGCAGACCACGGGAACCTGGAGTTGTTCCTCGACGATGTCCATCTCCATGCTGCGTCCGGCATTGCTTGAAGAAGCCATGAATGCTGAGTTTTAAGAAAAAAATGAACTGTAAAAACTTAGAGGAAGGCTTTTAGAAGTGTTCCCACAGACGGCGCCAAATGAAGCAACACGATCCGAGCACTCCTAGCTGGCTACCGACAGATTCCTCGTTGGCAACGGACGGCACCTGAGAAGATGGAAGAGAAGGATTCCCAGGGATTTACCCGGTGGGAATACTTCAATGCTTAAGTCAGAACGCAGGGGAAAGAGAAAAAAAGAGTGCGAAAGCTAAGAGTGTAGGTCGCGCTTTATCACTGTGCTCGAGAGGTTAGCTCACGAGCAAAGATGTATTCAGTTCCAGAGTATGAGAGTGTGGAAATATTCAAAAGTCTGAAGATCCTTTTCTCCCCTGCCTCGAGGGTTTTTATAGGGGCGTTCTTATCAAATCGGGCGTAACCACCACTGGGCCCCTGCCGCAGCCGTTACCTGCCAGGCCCGTGCAAGTGGCCGTTGCGACGTACTCCTTGCTCGGATAGGTGACACGTCCTCGAAGGACAGACACTCCTTCGCCTGCTGAGAGACGTGGGTGCAATATGTCAAAAGGACAGGGACTGCGCCGTCAGTCAAGGGACGTGGCGCTATTTGATTGGTACGGTCTGTCAAATGGAAGTTTCCTAAGAAACGTTCACGCTGCTCACTTGCGAGCTACTTTGTAGGGAGCTTAGGAATACTTCGGGGTTACCCTTATTAGAATTGGCTCCTGGGATGACTTATCTGCTTAAGGGCTTGAGCGAGCTGGTTTCCCTAGCTCGCGAGCTAAAGTTGCCTCAGAATATCCCCCTTGGAGTAGCTCGGGGAACTCAGAGCTCGCGTTGTAACGAGCTCTTCCTTCAATGAGCTATGATATAGCGGGCCACCTTATAGGCTTGTTACTTAGCCGTTGCCAGGCTATGGTGGTGAGTTGTCGCCCGTGCTGAGTCAGGTCCACGTGTCATCGTTTTATAGGTCGGGCCAAATCATCCTCCATCACTAACTAGTAATTATTGTCTTACAAATTGCCACAAAATACAAACCAGTACAACCTGAGTTGCTTCTAGAAAACAAACCAATAAAGATTTTTGCTGTTTTGTGGGGCATCTGAGGGGAATAAAACAATCCCATGTTTGAGAATAGGGTTATATCTATTGATGATCCAATTACCCATATTTCTGATTTATACATCCTTTGGGTGGTGAACAATAAAATTTTTTATGGGTTTTCTTTGAACGACTTATGGAGAAATGCGGTGAAATTCTTATTTTCTGCCCCCATGAATCCCTCTATTCCTCAGGTGTTAGGCACAAGACAGGGGGGTGCCTTGGGGAACCCTGGTGCTGCTGGTGTTGGGGGAGTGATCGGAGAAAGGGATGGAAACATTTTTTGGGTTTTTAGTGGCCCAATTGTCATTGCAGGCTGAGGTTGTGGCCACTCTAACAGGGGTTGGTTTGTAAAAAGCTCCAGATTCTCCACCTGCTCATAGAAGGTGATTCAGAAAATACCATTAAATGGCTAGGGGAAAAAGCTGGAGGCCCCTGGAGATTCACTACGTGAATGAGGCTAGAGCCTAGAGATTTATTGAATTCATTGAACGCTTCTCTATCCTGGATCCCCAGACGGCTAAACTCGTTAGTTGATAGTCTAGCTAAATCTATGTTTAGTGGAAGAATGCTGCCTGTATAATTGCAGTTTTGTTTTTTTCTTTGTTCTGTTTCCTTTTCCCTGCTGTAAGAATCTTCTGTACACCTATTCATCAAAAAAAAATCTGCTGTACACCTTTTCTTAATGAATTCTGGTTACTCTCTCAAAAATAAATAAAGATTCTAGAGATACTTGTTCATTTTTCTTGAGAAAATCAAATAGACTACAGGATTTGAATAATTTTTTTCCTATGGAGGTGTGGAATCAAACCCTTGTATCAGCAGACTCTCCATGGTAAAGGTCATTCAGTGGACCTTAGACGAACCCTGCTCTGTCCCCACCCCTTAATCCCTTGTATTCTGTAATACGTAATACCAAAAGAAAAAGAAGAATTTTTTCCTATGGTTTATTACTTATTTGATGTCAATGCAAGTCTTTCTTAATGGTGTTGATCACCTTCAAGAAATTATTAAATGCTAATTCCTGATAGTTCCTTTAGGTGCAGATTCCTCTGTTATTTTATTTTATTTTTCTTATCTTATAGATCTATCATGCATTAGATTTTTATGAGATTAAACCATTTGTTAACAACTTAACATGGAACTCAAAGTGGAAGAAACTTCGGAGGAAGACTCAGATTACAGAGGGATGATGTGCTTGAAAAGTTTAGACTACAAGTACGATGTTAGAAAACAACCAACTCATAGAGATGTGCAAACTTGCTATGCTACAAATATAGCTGTTGTTGAAGTGAGAATTAAAAGGAAAGTAACCCATTTATAAAAGAAGTTCTTATCTTCCCAAAGCAGAAGCCAGACAATCAGATTTTTTTTTTTTTTGATCAGTGCAGACAATCAGATTCCATTGCCACTGAACAATTATGTCATGATTAGATCAGAGGTATTGATTATTATTTTCAATTCTTTGACATGTCAACTGAGAGATGAATTCAAGTTGTCAAGACAAAACACATAGGATATGCTAGAATCTGGTGGACAACCGTAGATGATCATCTGAGACATGTAGGACAAGCCCTTATTTCACACTAGGAGGAAATGAAACCTGGAATGAAGGAGTAATATATGCCCCATGAGCACAAGGACAACCTATATAAAGCCAAGAATCCTTAATCAAGGAATTGTTTCTTCAATTAAGTATATGGAGTTCAACTATCAAAAAAATGAAACCTGGAATGGAGTAATATATTCCCCATGAGCACAAGGACAACCTATATAAGCAGCCAAGAATCCTTAATCAAGGAATTGTTTCTTCAATTAAGTATATGGAGTTCAATTATAAAAAAAAAAATAAAATAAGAATATGGAGTTGTTTGAGGAACTTCGATTTATTCGATTTATTACTATGTTACAGAATGATGACAAACAAATTCTCTTTTTTCAAAATGGGTCAATTGACTGGGATAAGAAAAGAGACGACTGTTTTTTGACTTTAAGGAATTCCACATGGCTCTCAAGATTGAGCAATTGCTAAAGCAACCCACTACACTACTTTGGGTCTCAAGCCAGATAGACTACAATTTATAGGGATAGTGGCAACAATATGGTGGCAATTGGCAAATTTTTCCCCTATAGCTACCCTAGAACACAATACCTAATGCTCCAGCAAGCTTACTGTTCTCCTAAATAATGTATTTACAAATTTTCACCCAGGTTAATCCTACCCTGTAGGCTTCAAAACAGAAGGAAAATATACCTCAGATATCTCAAGCAATATATATTTGTCTACTCCCCTTTGGGACAATGTTCCATAGACTGTTGAGACACAAATAAAGGGAATACAAGTGTACAAGAAAAGGCCACGCCAGCCTTTAAAGAATGTAACTAACAGCCAACCACTAGAACAAACTAGACAAGTGGACTAGACAAGTGGAGAGAATGGTATAACAGAATTATGACAGCAGTATATAAATAAGGAAAAGGAGGTTAGGAGGGGATTATCAATTTGGGAATACAATCTCTCTCTCTCTCTCTCTCAAGAGGCAGGCTCCCTCGAAAGAGTCCCTGAGTTAGACAATCCCTAACAAGTTGGTGTCAGAGCCAAGATGCCAAGCACAAGGTCATCCGCAATGGAGAACAGAGTCGACAACATGGAAGGAGAAATGCAAAGAATATCAGCTAACGTCAAAGAAATCAAAGAAAGCTTTGCATCCTTGCTTGAACGACTAGCACAGGCACCACCTGCACCGAATCAGGAAGAGCGCAGTGACACCAGTCATTGAAGCGGATCAAGAACAGCAAGAATCGAGTTTCCCATCTTCGCAGGGGGAGATCCCACATCCTGGCTTCTACGAACAGAAAGATACTTCGATTACCACGACACACAAGGAGAGGCGATCGTCTGGTACCAATGGTATCGGCGACGGCACCCAAGAGCCACATGGGCAGACTTCACCGACGCCTTAACCATGCAATTTGGAGTCTTGGTTTTTGAGAACTATGATGAAAGCCTCGCTAAGCTACGATAGACTAGCTCCGTCCAAGATTATCAGATGGCGTTCGAAAGATTGGTTGTGCACGTGCAAGGATGGCCAGAAAATGTGCTTGTCGGCAGTTTTGTTGGTGGACTCAGGGAAGAATTGCGGTTGGAGGTAAAAGCCATGCAGCCCACCACCGTTCTTGAAGCAGCAGCATTAGCTCGACTACATGAAGACAAACTGAATCGGGCAAGAAGGATTAATCGACCTCTGGGAGCTGCAATCAGACCAGGTATCTTGGGTAAAGCGAAGCCTAGGTCAAGAGTAGGAATCACAGGCAAGGATGCCAACTCTAGTTTAGGCCCCGGCTCAGCCAAGAGGTTAACCTGGGCTAAGATGCAAGCCCGACAGGAAAAGGGCCTTTGTTATGCATGTGGAGACAAATTCGGGCCGGGCCATCATTGTAAGATCCCTCAAGTTTTCTTCCTTCAACCTGAAACCGAATATGTCGAGCAATCAACAGACATTGAAGAGCCAATGGACAACCAAGAATGGGGGCAATGGACAAAGGAATACCCGAAAGTATCCCTGCAAGCCTTGACCGGTCTTGCTTCTTCTCAAACTATGAGAGTAACCGGACTGGTACAAGGGCGCCATGTGTCGGTTCTGATAGACAGTGGCAGCACCCTCAATTTCATTACCCAATCATTGGTCAGACAACTAGGGATTCCGGTCCAACCATGTACAACCTTCCGAGTGCACGTAGCTAATGGGAGCAACCTGGTGTGCAACAATACGTGCAAAGAATTAAAGATGAAGATACAAGGACATGAGTTCAAGGTAGATCTGCACCCCCTGGAAATCAGTGGAGCAGATGTAGTTCTCGGAGTCCAATGTTTAAGGCAACTACGGCCGGTGATATGTGATTGGGCCCGTCTCACCATGGATTTTCAAGTGGGCAGCTCACAAGTGCATATTCAAGGGCAGCTGTCCAAGGGTCCAGGACCTATTAGTCTCGCCTCCCTAAGGAAACAGGCAACAGATCCAGCCCACATCGTTTTAATGCAGATAGACTCCCACAGGAACGGCCCCATTCTAGCCCAAGGAAGCAGATCCGAAGAAGGCTGCACACAACTACAGCAACTACTTCAGAAGTTCTCAGTGATCTTCCAAGAACCTAAGGAACTGCCACTGAAGCGTGCCCATGATCATTGCATTCCATTGCTGCCCAGAACTGCACCCACAAATGTAAGGCCCTATCGTTACCCCTATTTTCAGAAACTAGAGATTGAGAGGCAAGTGCAAGATATACTTGACAGAAAAATTATACAACCTAGCCAAAGCCCATTCTCCTCGCCAGTATTACTTGTGAAAAAGAAGGATGGGACATGGCGATTTTGTATAGACTATAGGGCTCTGAACAACATTACTATGAATGATCGATTTCCCATACCGATAATCGATGAACTACTAGATGAACTCAGCAGGGCCACCATATTCTCTAAACTAGACCTGATTGGGGAGCAAGTCTTCCTTAACTACTAGACCAGATTGGGGAGCAAGTCTTCCTTAAATTACAACCATACAAGCAAGTTTCAGTAGCAGGCCACCGGTGGAACAAACTGAGCCCTAGGTACTTCGGCCCATTTCAGATTGTGGAATGCATTGGGTCAGTGGCATACAGGCTTGACTCCCAGCAACATCAAAATTACACCCTGTATTCCATGTATCCCTATTAAAGAAATGGCCAAAAACAGGAGGAATAACAACAACCACCCTCCCATCATTCTCGGAAGATGGCCAAGTTCAAACTGAGCCCACTCAGATAACAGATTTCAGGTGGATACGCAAAGGGAATCACATCGAACCAGAGGCATTGGTGGTATGGTCAAGTCTCCCAATCGATGATGCAACTTGGGAACCTTACTTGGATTTACAGAATAGATTCCCACATCTTGACCATGAGGGCAAGGTCACTTTCAAGGGAAGAGGGACTGTTGATACACAAATAAAGGGAATACAAGTGTATAAGAAAAGGCCACGCCAGCCTTTAAAGAATGTAACTAACAGCCAACCACTAGAACAAACTAAATAACAAACTAGACAAGTGTAGAGGCTGGTATAACAGAATTGTAACAGCAGTATATAAATAAGGAAAGGAGGTTAGGAGGGGATTATCGATTTGGGAATACAATCTCTCTCTCTCTCTCAGGAGGCAGGCTCCCTCGAAAGAGTCCCTGAGTTAGGCAGTCCCTAACATAGACAGCATAATCAAAAGAAACATTGATGACAAACATACTTGGCCAAGACAAACATCATACAATCAATCAAATAATCCTATAACTTCACCACTTCCAAGAGCATGAAAGTATATAGCCAACCATACATCTCTTCTAGTACTAGCCAAAATTAAGCAAGTGGATTGTTAGTCCAACCACCAAATTAATCTTCAAAGAAAGCAAAACATTGCACTCTTTTGTGGTAACAAAATGCACAAAGACCAATTACACTTTATTTAAGTTTAATTATTTGAGCTGCTTCATGACAGAGCTGATAGTATAGAAAAATATATGGAACAAAAGGTGCAAACAGGACTAACTAAACAATTAACAAGAATTTCGACTGAAAAAAACAATTAACAAGAATGAGCTAAGAATAAGTAGTCAATTTCGAGAATAAAAAGCTAGATATTTTCTCAGTAACAGGAAACTACCTTAGAATTGCCCTCCTGAATTCCCCATAAAAATTCTAAACCGTGAGAAAATTCCCAGTCCTCTTTCACGAAGAAACTCCTGTAAGCTAGCAGCACTTCTCAAGATGCTACTAATGCATGGAAATTATTTCTTCATCTAAACATTGTCTAATGCGAATTTTCATCACTTTTTCAGAGGAAGAAGGCAAAATATCACAGCAATGACGTCTTGGAGCCTGTAACTAAAATAGGAAAGTGAAAAAAGTATTACAACAAAGACATCATGCAAAGCAATTTGGGAGGGAAAGACAGGGAGTTATAAACTTCAGAGCACCTGAATGAAACATACTAGGAACTTCTGTGGCAATACCTGTCCATAGTCAAGCTCTAGCTTCGGAGAGAAGACTTTGATCTGTTCTAGATTTTGTGATGCACTCTTCTTCAAGCAACTTCTTATAGTATCCTTGCTGTAGTTACTCTGGGTTACATTTGTATTAGTTAAAACATTTCCAAGAAAGAAAATTGAAGGTCTTTTACATGGATCTTTGGGAAACACCCTCATGTTAAACATGAAATGACTTAAATTAACATTAAGACTTCTCCTCCATGGCATGAACGTTCTCTGCATCAAAATGAGGTCTGGAAGAAGTTGAATTCCTTCAAACACCTGAACTGCATAACCCCAAGAAACTGAAACAGTCTGTGAATTTGACTGGTCATAGCAAACAGTTTGCTGCAAAATCCTGGCAGGATCAACATTGACAACATTAAATAGATGTTCTAGAGCTTGAATCTGGCTCCTATTGGGGAAAATAGGATCCACAGAATCCAAATGATGAAGAGATATTATAGGTGCTAACGGATGAGCAGAGAGCAGTCCAAACAGATTTCCACGGATATCAACCTGGTCAGATGCAGATAACAATATTCAGCTTTTGTCAGATTATAGCCCGGGTTGGAAAACTGGAAATTTAGAGAATCATTTATGCTCACTCAATGATAATATGGCCATTCAGGAAATATTGGCATTACATCCATGAAAAAGCAGAGCATGACATGGAAATTTTAGTGCATCTTTTCAGCTGCGGCCTATGTAAATTAACTCACCACCAAGAACTGTGGTTCTTTGTCAATGAACTTTGACTTGGTAATACTAAGCACTTGACAATCAGAAGTTGTAATAAAAAGATTTGATTAAAATGTGGAGATACTTATGGCCTACCTTTTATTTTTTCAATACCTTCTTGTAACCTACCTTGACCAAGAACAAACCTCAAACCAAAATCACCAATCAATTTGATTCATTATCCATTGGAAATCAAGCCTTGTACACATGGGGACATTGAGAAAGGTAGGATATGTATGATTAATTCCAGATTTATTTTAATCAAACCTAATACACATGGGAACACTAGAGTACACTACCTCACGTTTTATATTTTACACCAAACATTAGACTCCTCTTTTTTGTTGGAGTGAGGGTGGGGAGGGAGTGTTCCCCCAGACACCAAGACTCCTCCTATAACCAGCCAGAGACCTTACCAGCAAGCTAGATGGCACCTTCAACCAGACATCAAACTCAATAATGGTGTCAACTGTTATTAGGAATAATAGGTAGCAGCAAATTGAACAACTCCATGAGTAGAATTTGCATAACTATACCACACAAAGTCATAGTCCACAAGCTTACCTGCATATCATACAAACACCTCGGTGCAAATGTTGCAAAATTTTCACCAGCTCTACACATTTTCTCCAATTAAGCACAAAAATCAGACTACTTGGATGCCAAATTTCAGGTATAAGACATTTACAACAATCAAATAGTGATACAAGAAAAAGATCTTAATTCAGACCAAATCATTATCTGTTTTACCTGTTTATTTTTATATATATTCTCATTATTTTGCAATACAAATTCTAGTTGGACAAAGCTGCTTTTATTTTCCCGAATCATAAAGATACTTCTGCTGAGATATGATTCAAACTTTCAACGTATAATCGGACTGAGTGATGTAATTAGATCTCCAATCTGATAAGCCATGAGCACCCTACCGTATTTATCACTCATCGGCCATAAAATTTGAATAATGAACTTTTGCAAACTTTTCCTACTTTGGAGACCATAAGTGATAAACAGTAACACAGTAGTTTGTTCACGGCCTACTGAACTGTACATTAATCTGATCATCATTCAATCTGATAGTCAACTCTTTGAATTAACAGGAGGGAAAAGTACCATCATTTATATCCAACCCCCCCCCCCCCCCTCATTGGAGATCTGTAGCACTCCTGTGTGAGCATCAAGCAACATTCATCAATTTCTGTTTTTTATATGTTTTCTGATAAACTTAAGTAGATTGATTTGACTGCATTACACGGATCCTTGATATGTGACTGACCAAAATCCATAAGATCTCTCGTTCCGAAAGTAAAAATTGGGAATAAATCGTAAATTATAATACTTGATAAATTTAATACAATTAATCAATTATTTTAACAGGAATGCCAGCAATACGAATCCTTGGCAGTATCATACATTACAATGTACAGAACCCATGCGCGAATGAACATTTACTTTATTCCTTTTTTTTTAACAGGTAATCTATTTATTCCTTCTTTTATCACTCATTGCATGAGTTACATGAAAATAAAGATATACCGTAAAGAAATATATATATTTTTTTAGCAGCACCAGTACGAAAATCCATATTAGCTCTTGTCCTTTTTGTGGTTCAGGGCACCACAAGACCACACTACCACAGTCCGCACCCAGGACCGAAGCGCTAGGATATTGTATTGTTGCACTTGAATAAACGACAACTAGCAATAAATAATATATTTTTAGTAAATTACAGATTTGACCTTGGGGCTTAGGGTAATGGATTCATTATCATCATTAGCAAAAGAAAAACAAAGGAAATTATTAATTAAGTAAATTAATAAAGATAACAGAGGAGGAGATAGATATATTCTCTGTACAGAGTACAGACTACGTCCTTTACCTGATGGAATCCAGATTCATGCGTTAAACCGACACCAAGCTCCGCCAAGCATGAGAAAATCCTCGAATCACTTCCGTACAAATGCGAGTACCTCATCAGACACGAATCCATCACCCTCGCTAAAACCCTAGCCAGCGGGTAGCTAATCGCAAACCCTCCTCCCCCAAACGCCATTTCAAACGAGAACCTGGAATTCTGCTCGAAACTCTCGGAGCTGCTCCCCACGTAATACCACCGGTTGTGATCATACTTGGACAACGTCTTGGCTAGATTCTCCGGGAAGAACACCGTGTCGTCGTCCCCGAACACGAACCACCGGACGTCCGACAGGTTCCGGGCAACGATCTCCGAGACGATACGCGACACGCGGATCGCCGATCGGAGGCCGCCCTTGTAGGTGTATGGGAACCGGGAAGTGTCTTCGGAGATAAGCACCGGCGGGAGAGATTCCGTGGTATTGGTTGTAGCGGAATCGGGCGGCTTACGGTCGAGGAATACGTAGCCTCGCATAAGTTGGGGTTTCCACCAGAGACGGACGTAGTGTCTACGGTTGGGCCAGGACTTGGAGGAGGAAGCGATAGCGAAGGCGAGGTGGCTGAGGGAAGTGGGTGGCGATGATGATGATGATGGATAGGGTTGTGTATGTCGTATTTGGAGGAGCGTGGAGATACGGTAATGGGATACGACGAGGTAAAGAATGCAGAGGGACGAGAAGATTAGTAGGAGATCCTTTAGGCGAGATGATGTTAAGATTTCGCCGGGAATCTTGAGAAGACGACGATTCATCGTGCCTTGGTTCCTCCGAACCCGATGCATGGAGAGAGAGAGAGAGAGAGAGAGTTCAGACTAGGATCTAACCGTAAGTGTAAACCAAAAAAACGGAGAGGTCTTTAGATTCAATTTTTAAGAGTGTCGGCCTTGTTTCTTCTCTGCAGACCTCATTGTGTCAGACTCAAATTTTGTTTCTTTCGTAGAAGACTGACACGTGGGGAGGCGTGTTTTCGAACTTGACTCATGTTATTCGCCAGACACGGGAATTCGCCAGACAGGGGATTCGATAAATCGTACGAACACCACCAAAGCAGGACATCACATTAAAACATCAATCAAGTACAAGTGCAAGCGAACGACTCCAGATCTCGTAACGCAAAAATCGTGTACACATACCGGAGGTGGGATCTGTTCCTCACATAGGGCGCCTCACACGCGCTTCACTCTATGTGCGATGAGGCGCCTAAGTGTGAGGAGCATATCCCATCCCGTGTGTGATATTTTCACTGTTTGCACAGCAGCCATACATTGCCGATATCTCCTCATAAAAAAAGGGTTATTTACTTAAACTTATCAAATATTCTTTATATTTCGCAACCTATTTATTTAATTGATCTTTTTGCTAATAATTGTGTCTTTTGTCATATGAAAATAGTAACATTATCACCTAAATCGAATGCAAAGTGTGGAAGGCCATCGCCTCATTATTACTTATTCCAAAATTATCCTTAACATTTTATACAAAAAACAAAATTGACCAAATAAAATCAAATAAAATGATTGTTCATGTCTTATTCAAAGAGAAATTTGTATTTTTATATTTATTTTCTTTGTTTTAAATTTCTTCAAATGAATGTTAGAGTTAAAACTATCATTTTCCATTGTCATCAAATGAAAAGGTCAATTAAGTAAATTGATTACAAACTACAAAAGGGTGTTTAAGTAAAACACAATCTATAAGGTAGATCTTAATAAATCCAAGAAACTATAGGGAGTGTTTTAATAAATGACCCAAAAACAATATGCAAGCAGGGAAATTTTTGTTAATTCTCACTTAACAAATTTTTAATACTAACAACTGTAGGAATTTTGTCAAAAAAAAAAACAATTGGAGGAATTGATTAAATATAAAGAAATATGGTGTCAATGAGTGAGCGTGAGAAGTTTTAAATTATTGTGAATGTAGGTAAAATTAAAACTTGTAGAAATGGGTATGAGTAAGATTTTCCTAGGAGATTTTTATTATTTGTTTCAATTGCTATTCTTTTAATGTTCTCGTGGTTGCATTCTAAGTGATACAAGTGGTTTATTTTCCTTTCCAATCCCATTCAATTTCTTCTACTCTTCATTTCATCTCTTGATTTGAATTTGTGCAAATAGCCGGGGCAAATATAATTGATCCAGGGGCCTTCTATTTATAGCAGATTTTTGTGTATAGGACAAGTTAAGGTGTGATAGAGAAAATCTCTTCCAACATATATCTACATTGTACATCTCATACATGGTGGGTCTACAGACATGTGATTTAAGCCAAATAAGTGGGCTTAATTTACATGATAGCCTTCACAAATTAATATAGGCCTTCATGGACCTAAGGCCAAAGTCTACATAAATATGACTTGGTGGCCCAAGGATCCAAGTGTACTAAGTCCAATATGGACCATGTCTTATTCTAATAGGGTGGTCCGATTGGCAAGACCATTAAATCCTACATAATTGTGCATTTGTGAAAGTTAACACTAACCCAACACCCCACTCGCATGGGATTGGTTAGCAAAGTGGGTTGAGGTGACAATCATAATCTTTGATTATAAATAGTCTTGCCTAAGGAGAAATAGTGCATTTTCTTTTTTCTTTTTCAACAATCACATTGCATGAAGCTCTCTCACACCAACACTTGAGGATTGCAAGCAACCACAAACTCCAACAACTTCAAAATCAAGAGAGAAGAAAGAAGGGAAAATCTTTTTATTTCTCTACAACACACTTGGATTCAAGCTCTCTAAAGAAAACCAAACAACTACAAAAGAGCCTTTTTTAGAGAAGCATCATTCATAGTTGATCAAGAAGCAAAGCACAAAGTGAAGAAATCTACATCAACTCTTCAGAAGCACCAAATTCAAGAAAATCTACATCAACATTTCAAGAAGTACAAGAAAAATGCCAATGACCCTTGTCTTCATCAAATTCGACCGCTAATCAAAGGCTGCTCACGTTATCAAGTAGAAATCAAAGTGAGTTCAATTCCCTTATATTTTCTTTATTAAAAATTTATTTTTGTAATTTATCTCCATATTTTGTGTTAATCAAATACACAAAATTTATGTCGACAAATTTCTAGCACGCTCGATGGGACACTCTCTCTTCCATTCATCTTTCAAGTCAACAACTGCAACAATCATCTAATGGCTATCTAGAAGGCTGCAACTTCCTTCAACAAGCCCTCTAGCACTTTTGGTTCTTCCTACAACTGTCTTATCACACGTGCCATGGCAAAATCCAACAAAATGCAACTAACGTCTCCAGTGGAGCTTCCAACACAGAAAATCACCAAGGTGACTAAGCAAAGCCTCTTCAACTCTTCACACTTTGATTTGAAGGAAAAAAACACTTTCTCTTATATGACCAATCCATCACTATGTCATGGACGGAGTCTTACTCCTCTCCATCATACAACTCCTACTTTGCTTCTAGTGGTGTCATATCGGTGGGGATGACAGAAGTCACGACGATGAAAGAACGGCTCCAAAAGATGGATGAAGCCATTGACAACCTCAAGAGCTCCAACACTGAGAAAGATCTCCATATTGCCTTCCTAATGAACAAACTAGAGATACAAAACTGCCAAGAAGAGCCTAGTTAACGACCTTCTCACCCTCTACGATTCACTCCTTTAATGACTTCCAACCTCCAAGAACAGTAGTAGCAGGAACAAGATGAGCATAATCCTGTCACCATGTAGAACATGATGCAAGACACCACTCAAATATCTGTTGCTTCTCTAATGGCGCAACAACTACAATACATGATCGCTGACACCATAAGGGCTCAATATGGAGGTGTTCCACAAACCTCTCTAGTGTATGCCAAACCATACACTCGTCGCATTGATGAGATGTGCATGCCAATTAGCTACCAACCTCCTAAGTTCCAGCAATTCAATGGGAAGGGAAATCCAAAGTAGCACATAGCCCACTTCATCGAGACTTGCAACAACGTGGGAACCTACAACAACCAAATAGTGAAGTTGTTTATTCACTTCCTCAAGTCTACAACATTTGATTGGTACACCGACCTCTAGCTAGTCTTTATTGAAAGTTGGGACCATCTTTAGAGAGAATTCCTCACTCGCTTTTATTATACACGTCAAACGGTTGGACTTTTAGAACTCTCCACTACAAGGCAAAGAAAGGAAGAGTCCGTCATTGACTACATTGAACAGTAGAGAAACCTCATCCTTCAGTGTAAGGAACAAATTAATCAATCATCTGTCCTAGACACGTGCATTCAAGGGATGCACTGAGGGCTACTATACAGCCTCAAAGGGAACATGCCTACCACCTTCGAAGAATTAGCTACTCGGTCTCATGACATGGAGATCCAGATAGCCAAGCATGGGAATCCCCAACTAAGTGATCCTCGTGAGAAGAAAGAAGGTAAGAAGTAAGTCAAGAAGGACCCTAAGACCTCTTCCTCATCCTCCTCCAAAGGAAAGGAAGTCATAAGTACTACCATTACACTAGTTTAGATCTCTGGCAAGAAGAAGAAGATGACTATTAAAGTGAAATCTTTTGTAAACCAAGGCCAAGAGAAGTCTAGGCCTACTCTGAAGGAACTAGAAGAGAAGGAGTATCCGCTCCCTAACTCTAACGTTCAAGAAAATGCTTAACTAGCTACTCCAAGCCAAGTTGATTGAGCTTCCATCGCCCAAGCGACAAAAAGAGCAAGGACGTGTGGCTGACCCCAAGTATTGTCAATATCATCAGATGATAAATCATCCAACTGAAAAGTGTTTTGTCTTAAAGGACAAAATACTTCGTCTTTTAGAAGAAGAAAAGATCAAGTTAAACCTTGGTGACAATTCCGCTGCTACTAACTTCACCATTGTGACTTTTGGGTCTTCTGACCTAGTACCATTGCAACCCTCCACGGGTTCTTCCTCCTCTGCTCAAGCTATAGTGAGCGTCCAGACCTTAAGGAACTTTCCACCCGCAAAAGGGATGTCAACACAATAATACAACTCGATGGATTCTCCTCAAATTATGAAAAATTGGGGGCAAGTTAATTGGATCCCCAATGATCTCTTTTCCTATAGTATCCCTTCTAGAGGGGGCAATTTCTATCTGGTTCATTGCTGATCAAGAGGTGACCATGGTTTATGCATATCTTGACATGCCAAGGTTTGGGAATCCCAACATCCCAAGTCTCTATGAGCTGATGACAGATAACTTGGACTACTGGAAAGAATCATCTATTTCAAAAGATGAGATAGAAGATGGATGGTCCACCTTCGCCAACAAGAAGGTACGATGCCAACCTGAAGGAATCATTTTTTGAAAGTTTGGGTAGTACAATAATACGTTTTGAAGTTCGAGTACTAACTTACTGAAAGAATGGTAGGATCCATCTAATGGACGCCATAAAGGTTGCGGAATGGGTGGGCGAATTTCAAAAATTTCCTACCTTCTCCCAACTGG